ACAAAACGAAAAGAAGATGCATCAGCCATAAGACACAACCTTTGTAGGCTGAAATGATTCCAGACTGAAGTATAAGTGCCACCAAGTGAAGCAAGCTCAAGAACCTTCTACTGAAACTTTTGGTTGACCTTGTTTAGTTTGATGCTGAAGCGGCACAAATCTGACGCCCACCTTGAGTGGCGGAGTGGCCCACAAACACAGTCAATTTGCATCCGCGGCACAGACAAAAGAACGAGAGATGCCCTTACTTTTTCACACCCATTGGAATGCATAATTGATGAAACACTTGAGGTAAAGAGGACCCTTATCTCAGTGTATTAGATGCTGAAGGTGAACGTGATACCTCAACAGCTCAAAGACTCAGAACCGAAAAGGTTTTCACTTTCTGTGTTTGATCTGCACCAACAAAAAAAGAATACTTTTCATATGTTTACAATGCATTTGGACAGATGTCATTTTCCTATATTATTGCTTTGCAACGTTAATTCAAAATCTAAACTCTGGTTTTAGATCTTTTGTGGTTGCTCCTCTTCTGCGAAAGATAACATCTTGAGGGCTAAGAAGCAGCTGCTTAAATCAGAATCAGAATCAGCTTTATTGCCAGCGCTCCAGCGACCCAGAGCATATAGGAACTTGACTCCGCAACACAACCTGACCAAGGTTAAACACACACACATGTAGACAAAAACAGGTACAGGCAGTCACGAGAGCAGCCAGAACGGCGCTCATTTCATTAGATGAAAAGGGTGTTACATGAGGATGATTGGGGTAAGGTAAAAAAAAAGGCATAGCAGAGTTAGACCCAGCGGGGAGTAACTCTATTATACAAAAAAACTCCTCAACATAGAAGCACAAACATCACAGATACAAAACATCAGAGTCTGATGGGAAGGCGGGGTTGGGCGGGATCCTGAATCCTCCAATTGACTTGCAGAGTTCCACATAGCCAGCCTTGCTGTGCCGAGTGGACTGTTTACTGTATTTGGCATCCTGAAACGGTGCCCTCTCTCTCTCTCTCTCTCTCTCTCTCTCTCTCTCTCTCTCTCTCTCTCTCTCTCTCTCTATATATATATATATATATATATATATATATATATATATATATATATATATATATATGTATATATATATATATATATATATATATGTAAATGTATATGTATATGTATGTATATGTATATGTATGTATGTATGTATAGCTTTTATTCACCTGTTCCATATTCAATCTTTAATGTTGTTTTTTGTGACATAAACACGAATTTGGGTCAAATCAAAGGCTTAGCATTCCTTGATTCCTTGAAGAAATGCCTTTTAAACAGATCATCATCGGTAGATACTTCAGAATGGTAAATGCCTTTTTGGACAAACCTTTTAAAAAAATCTTCATCTGCAAGTAAGATTAGGATTTTGCACAATCCATTAGAATGCTGAACTGTATATGACTCTCAGCTACCACAACTTTAATCACATGCACGCACACATCTACACACACACACACACACACACACGCTATAGTGAGTCTATTTCACGTGTGCAGAAAATGCTCAGGCCACATTTGTTAATTAAAGTAATATTTCCATAGTTTTCTGATGAATGGCCAAAAACGACTTTATTGTGCTAAAACTTCTCTTTGATCATATTGTTTAAGCTCTGCAGCTCGAGTCATTCAATCCTTCAGCAACTGCAGTGCATACATCCAAATATATCCTCTGTAACAGACACAAAACACATGACGCACACCGCTGTTGATTTCATTCTCTCCACAACAATTCTGGCGTGCACGTGCACACGTTTGTGCATGGTGGCAGACTGTCTATCAATGCAGGGAATGACTCACCTCCTCCACCTGGAGTAGAGCCAAGCCTTTCTCGCCTCCTCCCCCTTCATCTGTGTGAGCCCCCCACTTCACTCACTGTGGCTCCTCCATGGAAGCATTTCAATCATTCAAATTAGCTGTAATCACAGCCGAAGGCATAGAGTGGGAATGGCAGCACGTCACTCCACGCACTTGAGAACACTTAATACATTGATTTTATATTGAGCATGCTGCGATTCAAAAAGGAGAGCTAGTGAGGAAATAAATAAGCTACACAGCTCAAGCCTTTTCTTTCTCTCTTTTTTTTTTTTTTTGGGCTACTCTTGATTCCAAGACAAAGAATGGAAGCAAGGATGAGAGGCCGGCTTTATAAGGAGCAGCACTAAGACTCCTTTCAGTTTTCAGCGATGACATGCGAGAAGCGGTGCATCAGTAGCACCAGCTGCAGCCTCTGCATAATGCCACAAATTATTGGGCTGCTAATGGGCAGCTTAGCCTTGAGTGTTCAGCCTGCACCACTGCCATAGAGGAGCAAACACAGGATCAAGCCCTGCCTCCTTGGATATGCTGTAAAACATGCGATGCATCTAAAGGACATCTTATCCACATCGCTGTCTCTCCCTGTCTCCTTCTAATCCATGCTGGCCCCTGGAGACTCATATTAGGAGACGCCTACACTCGCCCCTCCCATACCTTCTCCCACCTCCACACACCACCCCCCAGAACCGCTATCTGTCCACCTCCACAGTCAGCTTGTGGACAAACCCAGAATAACAATGTGATCTTGCCTCTTAAAGGCACACGGGCATCCATGGCTTTGTTTTTGAGACTCACTACATACAAAACATGCCTCTCACTAAATGACAGTAAAACAGCCACTTGTGCATCTGAAATCATATTTTAAATACATTGATTTGCAGAAAATATTTAATTGGGACAAACAATGCAGACATAATCATCATCACATTGGAGCATTGAAACGGTGAGCCTCTGCAAAGCTGCGGGCCTGGAATACTAATCAGCATCAAACAGGGAGTCAAGTGCAGGACGCAGCACTTATAGGATGCAGTCAATGAACCTCTCAGTGAGGGCATTGGCCCATACTCAAATTCACATGAGGAGGCCTTCTCTAGGCTAGCTTAGAGTGCCCCCTTCAGTCACATCAATGGAAACTAAAACAAAAATAGTAAAAACAGTCACAGATCATAAAAAAAATGTCAAGTAGTGCCGATCTGTCACTACTTGACACATAACCTACCTGATTGTTTATTTTTCATGATGGTTAGACCACTAAAATGCCTGATTTGAAATTAACACATGCAACAGAAAGGAAAAGTTTGCTTTTAGTTTAAATCAGGTCAAATTTTTTTCTAAAGCACTTTACCACTGAGCATGACAGCTGACCAAACCCTAACCCTGTACAAAACAATTAAAGCAGAAAAAGTGAAAGTGCATGAAGGAATACAGACAAACAACAGGAAAAAACTGTTTTGTAAATACTAATTTGTTTTGCACAAAAAGTCACATGATGCAGCTCGACAGGCTGAGGCATCACCACAATGGAAAACTGTGGTGTTGCACAGGAAGCACAAGGTGCTCTTGTGTAGGCGGTGCAGAGGAAGAAAAGGGGTTGATCAGAAGTTAAAGAGTGCTTACTGCAGAGCTTTCTGCTTCTATTTTTAACCTGGCTGTGGTCTAAACTTTCTAATGTTAATTGCTTGCACAAAAGTGTTTGTTTACACACGGCCAGGACCCGGAAGGCACTGTCTGTCAACTTTAGCTTGTAATGATTTAAAAGTAATAAAATGCTAAATGTTTTCCAAATATTAACAAGAACTCAAACACACTGCTTTAGCTCCTGTTGCTGTATGGGACACACCAACAACTGAGGCAACCAACAAGGTCAAATGTAGAATAAAAAATAACACTTGCAATGTGTACTGTGTCAGCATGATTAGCCTTCCACGTGACCTTTTAAAACAGACATTTGTTTTTCTTTCTATCAAAAATTCCTTAAGTGTTCTTATCTTTTTGTTCCCTGTTTAGGGAGCAAAACCAACTTTCAGTCGTCTTAGTGACAGATGTTCCTTGAGACTTTTTTTTTTATCACGACCATTATTTCTCCACAGCTTTTTATTTTCAATCCCTGCAGGTTTTTTGAGCTGCCAAATAATTTCATTCTCTTTTATTATGGCCCCAAAATAGTGTTTTAAATGTACAATCTAATCCAAACTCCTCCAGAAATGTGTTCCTGTTTGTGTGTGTGTGTGTGTGTGTGTGTGTGTGTGTGTGTGTGTGTGTGTGTGTGTGTGTGTGTGTGTGTGTGTTACTTTCACAACCCTCTGAGATCATACAGAATTTAAATTTGAGACAACATTTTAATTGTGATTAGGTGACAAAAAGGATTCATCCTGTTTACTAAAGCATGTTGTTGTTAGTTTACCCTCTGCATGGCAATCATTTTTAACCATTGCTGCAGAATTTGTGTTTCTCAGCCTCCAGACTCCGCAAACTGCTGCATCAGCTTTCTTTTGAGATCATGGTAATGGCCACCTAAAGTAACGCGCCATCTAGTGGACCGTCCAAGAATAGCAGCAGAAAGCTTTTAGGGAGAGACAAACATGAATACTTGAAATATAGGAGCAATATTTACACCATATCTTGATAAAATTGGTGACAATAGAGTTGAAAGCTAATGCATGGATTAGAATATGCATTTTAACTAATGTCAGAATCAGAAGGGTTTTATTGCCTTTTCTGAAAGAAATCACAACATTAGGAAATTGCTGCGGTACTTGGTGCAAAAAGAAAGATAAAAATAAGAGAAAAGCAAATATAGAAAGTAAGAATATGATCATGATAAAAGTATAATTTAAAGTGGCAATACTTAGAGAAATGGCTACTACATGCAAGAGAGTGTAGATAGATCAGTAGATCAGTTCAGGTGCAAACACGACACAGGGTCATGTGACTGAAACCAAGATTTGGTGTCATTTGCAGCTTGTGTGTGTGATTTAGATTTAAATATAGTGTTATAGCATTTTAGCTCTTCATCATATGAAATTGTTTAATAAATAATTTAGACATAACAGCATTTATAGCACCTCCCTCTCTGTCTGATAGAAGGAAGCATAAAGAGTGAACTCACTCCTCCTCAGTAGCTCCACTAGGTGTTGATCCCACCATGTTCATCTGCTGCAGTATGGCTGTTCTGATGATTGTGCTGACTTTTACTGGTCAGGATGAGTCTGTTTCACGTTGCACGAGTTAAAGCATTTCAAACCTGTCATGGTGTTTGTGTTTTTAATTATATATATGTTTGTTTTTGTGTCTTTTTCAAACGTTATCAAACAAATCCCCTCACAGGATCAAGAAAATATCATTCTAAAGGATTCTTTTCTAAACGGTCTAAACCTTGTACACAGTTCCTACAGGGGACAGCATTGTTGGAGGTCGTGAGGCTGAACCCCACAGCAGGCCCTACATAGTGCTTGTGGAGAGGACAATGTACAATAATGAAACAAGATACTGTGGTGGATTCCTTCTGAGTGAATACTTTGTGATGACTGCAGCCTCATGCCAAGCCAAGTGAGTTTATCTTCTTTCAGAGTTCATTTTTATTTTTTTTTTTTAGAATAATCCAACAAAATAATGTAAGGATCAAATCTGAAAACTGTGTATTTATTTATTTGTGTTTAGATTTTATGAAGTTCTCTTTGGATTTCTTAACTTTCATGACAAAAACCTACCACGTGTGTCTGTGGCACATTCCCTCATAATACTTGCAACAAAAATACTTGTAAAAATGACCTCATGCTATTAAAGGTAAAATAACTTTCAACTTTTTTTCAAAAGTCAACATTACCCATGTGTAGATTTTATTCATTTATTTTTTTAATATTGCTTCTCATAACTTTTATAGGATTTTTACTATAGATCAAAATGGGAAAATAAAAAAAAGAAAAGAATTACTGGTTATGTTGATGTCAGCAGACATTGTCATTTCACAATTTTTTTCCTCTAGTTGACCTCCAAGGTAAATTTCAATGACACAGTGCAACCTGTTGCACTGTCAGATGGGTGTGACTGCTCACTGCCAAAATCCTGTAGCGTCTCTGGCTGGGGACTGGTGAGAGCGGGTAGTTACAACATGAATCCTAAACTCATGGAAATCAATGTAAAACTCAGGGTCCACAAGAAATGCCTTGAAGTAAATGCATACTGCTCTGAAGGAAAGGACAGACCTCACGGGGTGTGATTTTCCTGTCTAGTCAACAAACAACAAACAAATGAACATAGTGCAAACACACTCAATAGTTTTCACCTTTTGCATTCTGTATTTGTCCTTTCAGGGGGATGGTGGCAGTCCGTTTGTGAGGATGGAAAGGTGTACAGAGTGGTGTCTACAGCTGGGAGGGCTCCCATCAGACTCACAACTTATGCCAAGATGTCTGACCACGTGTTTCTGACAGAATGGATTTCTCCACACTTAAAAAAAAATGCCATTGAAAAAGATACTAAGTGTTGCGCTGATCTCTCTTTTTAATTTTTTCCATCACTCTGAGTAAAATGTTGTTTCTTCTTTGCTGACCTGTGCGCACATCTTTAAAATAAGTAAATAAATGTGTTGAGGGTATGCCCTCGTGAGAAATTGCTGCGGTAATTTTCTCCAAAAGACTGTGCTAAATTGCTCTGAAAAGCAAATAATCACATCAGCGCCAAGAAACTTCATTTCCCATGATGCTTTGCACACGGAAGCATTGTGATGACGTCACCGCCTAATACCAGAAACACGTTCTGCGCATGTGCGGGAGCCCATGGAGTTTTCCCGCGAGCTCAGACTATAAATCATTAACAAAGACAAAGAAACTCCGTTCTTTTGCCCAGGATAACTGGCGGTAAGGACACGCTCATCGTACGCTCCGACTAACTTGAGCACGCGGGAAGTCTAAGTGCTCCAGTAGAGCTCCCGGAAACGCTGGAAAGCTAAGCTACAAGCCCATCAGGTCTGTCCAACTGCTCGCTGCGCTAGCTGCTGAAGGGAGAACACAGAACCGGGCTGGGAAATCAGCAACTCCGTCAAACTCACGGAGAACGCCGAAAACAGCGGAGAAGGCCATCAAACCGACGGACGACGCCGAAAACTGCGGAGAAACACGGAGAACCGTCAAATCAAACAGTGGGGGACGCCTTGCTGTTCTGGTGATCAGAAAACTCTTTCTCTCTCTCCTTCTTTTCTTCTCCCGTTTCCTCTATAGTCCAGAATAAGCAATAAAACCGCGCTATTGCTTAAAAGTAGCTTCGTGTTTTACTCTTTCGTTCCCAAATACATCTGTCGGGTCATTTTGAAAGAATAAACTGCTTATTGATCATTGTTTGGTATCTTAAAATGGTTTCTGCTATGGCCAAGCGGTTAAACTAAAAAGATATTAATTCGTGATTAATCTTTGGTGAAGCTTCATGATCCTTTGAAACGTTTTGAGTGATTTTAAGGTTAAAGAGTGGGTCAATTGAGCCTCGGAGTCCTTCTCCACCCACGTATCAATTTTTAAAACTGCAACATTAGTAGGCGTTGCCTGGAGGACCGAGAGGGCGGAGCCGCGGCAGTGACGAAGACGACGGCTAACTAGACGATGCTAGCTCCCTTCACTCTATGCAGTTATTAGAAATGGAGGACGTTTCTCCCCCTCCTTACCCAGACACTCGAGAAGAAAGGGACCAAGTCTATTTGGAGGAGACAAGCGGACCTGAGCCTTATTGTTGTGAGCTTGTGAGTTGCTTGTAACTCCCATAACCGACCCAACAGAACCATCTCTGAATGCAAGTAGCCATTAGCCATAGCATCAGATTAGCTGCAGGGTTTGTCTCCACGGCCCTGGAGAGCTAGTATTCAGCATGTTTTAGAGGTTTATCTGCTTCCAACACACCTGGTTTTAATCAGCAACAAATAGCTGAGCTGCTTAACAGTTAATCTAACCTGTTAAAGCAGGAAAATCCACTGACACGTGCTGGATAGCAGCTCTCCGGTAGCCCTGGGCTCAAGTTACAGTCTGCTGCATAAAGTTATGAAAATATCCCATGAGAAAATTATTCTGTAATGTGTTCAGCTCACTAAAATTGCCCTGATTTATTTATTTACTAATAACAGCTGCTCTCTTGGTTCTAGGTCCTCTGGTGTTTGCAGCTGGTCTCCTCTGCTGGTGTCGTCAGGATCAGGAGCTTCCAGAAGAATGTGCCTTTCAATGACTCTTTCCCCCTTATTTGTTATATTAATTAAATAAATCTCAATTTATATATTTACTGTTTTTGTTCATGTCCATAAATACTTAAACATGCTTGAAATTAAAATGAGCTTTTAACAGTGAGGTGCTAGTTTAAATCATCACAATAGAGCTAGTTAAACATGCAACAATGTGATAATTCAATTAATGTAATTTATAAATATCCATTAAAATATCAAAACTGGAATCTATATGAGATATTTGGCAGCACAAAAAACTTGTCAAACACAATATTTATTATAATAATTGTAGGCAGACAGGAGACAGAGCTGATGGAGGTTCTCAGTCATCGAAGGATGGCTGAAGGCTTTCCAGGAACAGGAGATGTGGTGTTGTCTCTTCTCTCTATTCTGCCAGATGAGCTGATAGGTTACAGGTGTGTGAGGACATCCTCATGCTGTCATAACCAGATGACAGTTGTGTGAGGACGTCCTCATGCTGTCATAACCAGATGACAGGAGTTATCAGGTGATCAGCCAGGCTAATGATGAGATGCAGAAAGAAAACAAATCCAGGACAGTGTACAGTAATAACAATAATATGTGGTGTTGCTCACCTTATGTGCTCTTATAGAGTTATTAACGTGTGCCTGCCTCATGTTGTAGAGTCCATATTTTGCTGAGTGTCCTGCAATAATGCAGGTTATTAGTTAATTTACTTTTGATAGCAAAAACAAAATATTTAATGTAAAAGTTGTTTTCCAGGTGAATCAGCTCACACGTCACCACCAAGTGTCACAGGGCCAGAATCAGTAGCCTCCGTCATGATGTAATCACATACTTATTTAATTGTTAATATCTTAAAAATTCAGAAATGTTTTAATTTTATTTACCTTGAACAGTTCACTGAGCTTGCACTGTCACTGAGGTGGAAGCTGGAATCAACAGCAGACACCTCACATCTTGGTCTTTCCAGGGGGTGCGGCCGCTGCTCTGGGACTTTCTGGAAGATGAAATTTCATCATGGTCCCCGTGGGTCACCAGACACACAGCGGCTGTGAACTCCATTCTGGCTGGCTATGTAAAAACAAAGAAGCAGCACATTTATAAATGTTTAAAAGAGCATAAAATCACGTGTAACAATAATCTGTAAAACAAATTAAAACTAGAAGGTAATAATAAAATGTTTACATAGAAGATTATTAAAAATAATTCACCTTTGCTACGCCGGTAAGGCTTCACGTCAGCCTGGACAAGTGCATTCTTGCAGCTAAATCAGTCTGACAGCCAGTGTCTTGGGTAGATTTAGCCTGAAAAAAAAAAAAAAAAAAAGCACATTGTTGTTGGGAGTTTATAAAGTCAGATAAAATACAAAAGAATCTCCTATATAGGTGCTTTATAACATTCCTAGTGTGTGATCGTTATAACGTAAAAGTCAGTCATACATGATGTGGAGAGCCTGAAATGTGACCTCCTGAACAGAATTCCTTACAGAACCGGGTCACGCTGTGCTGGATTTGACGCTGTAATGCTGTCTGTCAACTAGTGCTGTTAGTTAGAGCCACTGTTGCAGAATTGCCGACTGACTAGCTAAAGGAAGTGAACCACGTCTCTCAGACTTTGCATTTAGGTAGGGAATTGTCTTTAGAAGATGTTAAAACGTTTATTTAGCTTACTCACCTCAGACTGGAGCCCGCTGTGGTGGGGGAGCAGAGTCGGTGGGCTGCATCTAAATCGCGGAAGAGCCATGGTGGGCAGCCTCCCTCTTCAAAAGGAGACGTGCAGAATCGCGGGTAAAATGCCCACAGAGTCACCGCAACCATACTACACTACACCATCTCACCAAGCACTAAACCCGAACTACTTTCCCAATTACACTAACAGCCAAACACTAACTAAACTACAATATCCAACAGCCAAATCTAACACTAAATAAGTATTTATAACACTAAAAGCTATGCTAAAGACTAGGATATGCTAATGCTATATGCTAATGCTGAACTACGGCTAACCTCCTACGCTAGCTTGCAAATCCAACTCCCAATTCGCCACAAGGCGTGGCCGAGACGCTCGTTGCTTTTATAACTTTGGCACGGAGCTGCTACGTAGTACTCTACTGGTTTACGTAGTACTTTACTCTTTAGCCATTGGCTAAAATTTATTCAAAATGACTCAAATTCTATGTTTTCAGCTGAAGGTGGCGCATTACTGTGGTTTTTAGACAGAATTTTTAATTTTTAAAGAAAATGCACCAAAATGCTAAAATAAAGAATGCACACATTTAAAACACTATTAGACACTCATTTATGCAGTTCATCAGCAAAAAAAAGTTAATTTAGACGTTACTTGCTCTTTAAGTTACTTCTGATGGCTGACCCCTTTGTCTGGCTAAACTGTGGGTGGCAACTTGCACTTTAACTTCCATAGCACTTAGAATCAGAAGTAACTTAACCTTAAAATCACTCAAAACGTTTAAAAGGATCATGAAGCTTCACCAAAGATTAATCACGAATTAATATCTTTTTAGTTTAACCGCTTGGCCATACTCTACTCCCCAACAGGTTAGGACTGTTAACCCCTCAACTGCTCCCCGTTTTTGTGGTGCATTTGATATGATTTCTAATAACCTAGATTCTTTCTCTGACGGTGTAATTGAACTTAGCTCACAGTTCCATGATTGCTGCAGCACCATTATGGATTCGGTGGCCCCGTTGCAGCTCAGGAAGCCCGGGGCTAAACTTGAGCCGCGGATGACTGAGACCATGTGCAATGCAAGAAGACAACGTTGAATGGCTGAGAGGAAACAGAAAAAGGATAGGCTACTGATATATTTCCAGATGCTAAGAAATGCTCTTCATTGCTATCAGGCCGTGGTGATGGATGAAAGGAGGAAATATTTTTCAGAAATCGTTCAGTCTGCCTGCAACAAGCCACATGATCATTTTAGTGTTTGGATAACGTCCTCAATAGCTCCCAACCTGCAGAAATTGAGGCCTCCCAGGGGCTGAATTGTTTTTGACTCCTATCAATAAGATAGTGAGCAATAGAGCTCCGATAGCATAATTTCCTCCTCAGGTTGCTGCTGGATGTTCAACTTTCTGTCAATTTGTACTACTAACACTGGATTGCCTGGGAGATCTTGGAACCCTTGAAATCCTCAGGTTCACCTACTGATGTGATTGCTCCGTGGGCCCTTGGGTTCTTACCATGGTTAAAAGTAGCCTTTCTTCTTGTGTGGTTCCAGAATATTGGAAACAGGCTATTGTCCAGCCACCAATCAAAAAGCATCTACCATGTCTGATTATAGGCCTATTTCTAAACTTCCATTCTTTTCCAAGGTTCTAGAAAAGGTGATGTATTTGCAATGGACTGAGTTTTTGCATGGAAATGATATTTGTGAAAAGTTCGTGTCAGGATTTAAAAAGGCACATAGCACAGAGTCTGCACTGCTCGGGTCTTAAACGATATTTTTTTAGCTACTGACTCTGGAGATTTTGTGGTTCTGGTACTGTTGTACTTGTCTGTTTCCTTTGACACCGTGGACCACAGTCTCCTGATTTCTTGGTTACATTTTGTTGGGGTTCGAGGCGTTGCTTGGCTGAGAGGTCGTTTAGAGTATGCTTAAGTGGTTTCACATCATCTCATTCGCCTCTCTTATGCGGTGTTCCTCAAGCATCAGTGCTGGGCCCTTTGTTGTTCTCCCTTTTTTCTACCTCTGGGTTTGATTTTAATTAAACATGGATGTTTTTTTCCTTTTGTATGCAGACAACACCCAGGTTTATATTCTCATTAAATGTTGCCTACTTAATTCATTAGATCCTCTTTGGGTTGGCAACAAGATGGCGCCTGTGCTTGAATTAGCCGCAGTCACGGCCACTTTTTCAAAATTTTCTCCACTAACCTCCTCTTTTCCACCTTGCTCCTGTCTGCGATCCTCTTCTGTAGTTTCCCTGCTACCATCTCCTATGATCGCCAGACTCTTTTGTCCTTCCATTCGTTCACAATCGCCCAAGACGCACCGAGGATTTACCATCCTGTTTGTTTACCTGAGTGGCGCACTGGCCCAGAGCCAAACGACGGTCCCGACCTGCACGCCTCCAGTGATGTTTGTCCGGTCCCGGAAAAACGTCGGAGGAAAAGAGGTAAACAAGCAGGAATCCAGGTGAGAATAAGACTTCTCTTAAAGCGTGGTTTATCTAGTAAACATCGGCGTGATCTTCTAGCTTCTCTTCCTTTGTTTGGTGACCTGAGCGCCACTTCAGCATTCCCGCCAGGCCGCGTTGCGGCGCGGTTCATCCGTCCAAGTTTTTTAAGGTTGGTTTATCCTCATTCCTCAGTGGTTTGTCCTCCTGTTCCCTCCATAAGTGGTTTTTATAAACACCGTGGATCTAACCCCGCTAATTTACGTCCACAAACTCCAGCTGTTTCTGTAGTTTCTGATTCCTCCACCTCACTCAGCATGGCTCTATTAAATTCCCGCTCTGTTAACAATAAGACCTTCCTGCTCAATGATCTAATTCTCTCTAAAAACCTGGATTTTCTGTTTCTGACTAAAGTTTGGCAGCAAACATCTGATTATTCTGCTCTGATTGAACTCTGCCTGAGTGGTTATTCATTTCTTAGCCAGCCCCGGGGTTCTGGTCATGGTGGAGGCCTGGCTGTTGTTTCAGAGACCATCTTCCCTGTAGCTCTACAACCTCTGTTCACTTTGCTTCCTTTGAACTGCAGCTGATTAAAGTTAGGCGTAAGAACCTGTTCTACTGTGCTGTGGTCTGTCGTCCACCTGGTCCAAACAGTTCTTTCCTTCAGGACTTTAGTGACTTTCTATCCTCCACTGTGAAGCTGTCCAGACTGGTGATTGTTGGTGATTTTAACATCCACGTTGATGATCCCTCCAATCTCTTTGCCATGAATTTCTCCAGCCTTATGGACTCCTTCAACTTTACCCAGCATGTGTCTGGCCCCACACACACCAGGGTCACACTCTGGACCTTGTTTTTACCCTGAGTCTAAATGCTGACAGTGTTTGTCCTGAGAACGTTTATATTTCAGATCACCATTGCATTTTTTTAACTTGTCA